AAACAAAGAGACGCCAAGCCAAACCAAAGCAAATGCAATTGTGTGGATCTCATTTGGATGCCAAAGCAAATAGACCCACTAGTAAGAGAAACCGTGTAGCAACGAGGGAAATTTAAATCCCAGTGGGTGTCTGATCGTATTGAAGGGACTGTTGATCTTTTTAGGCACGAGACTGATAATGGCTTAAGCAGAGACTTTACACTGTTTCCTGACAGAAATATGTATGGGTGACATGAGACTCCGGAGGTGCGGCTGAGGGTTCGAGAGCAGACGGAACGCGTTTGGCTGTGAATGGGTAACTTCTGAATCCGAGGATGTGTGTATGGCTCACTACAAGCCTCTCTCTCCTTTTGTGGATGTTTGAAATGTTTCACAATTAAAAGGGGGAAGAGGCCATTCCCACTGAGGTCTGCAAGGGACAAACACTGCCTTTTTCTCTGAGGGCCTCTGTGATACTGAGGGCCACAGAAGCAAGAAACCGAATCCCCGCTTGGATCCGTTTGTACTTAGAAAAAAAGTATCATTATTTTATAATAAACTCAAAGGACACATTTTCTTTTCAATGTAAGAAAAGGTGCAGGCTCTGGAGCTTGAATCTGAGCTTTGCAGGTCCTCGGACTTGGAACAGCTTACTTGCCTCTCGTGCCTCAGTTTCTTCTTCTGTAAAATGGGGTGATGCCGATAATGCTTCTTGGGGCTCTTGTGCAGCTTGCAGGAGAGAGGAATGAGCGTAGCTCCAGCACCCCCCTCGGCACGTAGAAAGTGCCCTGTACACGTGAGCTCCTCTTACTCTTCCGCTGGCTCCTGTGTTTCAGTATCTGGGCAATCCCTTCCCTGACTCGTATGGAGCAGCTCCTGGGTGCTGGGCACGGGCTGGGCTCGGGTGGGCTCTGCAGCCTCCTTTAGTTCTGGGCTCTAATTGTCCTGGCCACTTGGCTGGCCTTCTCGGCGCCCCGGGAGCCATTCGCTTTAGAAGTTTGCAACCCAGCCCTCCCATGTGGGGAAGAAAACTTAGGACCAGCAGCACAAAGCTAACTTCGCTGCTCAGATCCTCAGCATTGAGTCGGGCCTTCCCCGTCTCTCCCCTGCCTCCCCCAGAGTCCCAATTAGCAGGCTTTCCAGCCAGTCAGGGCTGCCAGCCCTCAGCTGCATCACTTGCCCCCCTTTCCCCCCCCTGCCCAGGCCGTGGTGCCCTCTGGGGGAGAGTGAGAGGGCTGTGGCTGGGCATGGTCAGCTCTGGCCCATCCCCACTTTGCTTAGAATCCAAGACTCAGGCCCTGGGTTGGGAATCAGCACCGACCCGAGGAGAGGAATGAGAGCAGGCCCAGAGACAGCCGAGGGCACCTCACCCTCAGCTGGCAGACCGTCCTCAGTCCTTCCCGCCCAGCCACGCCCGACGGCAGCGGGAACGGCCAAGGCTGCTAGTCTTAGAGCGATCTGGGTTGTTGGACACGTGCAGACCCAGCACGGAGGGCGTGCGGGAAGCTTCCGGAGGGAGGTGTCTGCCATCACCCAATCCTGGGCTCAGAACCAGAGCCTGCAGTTCTCTCCCGGCCCTGGTCCTGGTCCTGGTCACAGCTGGCTCCCGACACTGCCCCTCAGACGCTGCCTCCCTCCCACACCTGGAGGGGCAGACCGCCTCCTCCCACCTGCCCAAGCCACTGGGGCCAGGCTGCAAACGGGGCTCAGGGCGCGCTCCGGGCTCCTCAGGGAGAGAGGAGAGGCCAGGCGTGGGATCCAGGGTCTGGGCTCTAGGAGGGGACGGTTGAGAAGTCCTGGCTTTTAGCGCAGTTACAGTTACAGCAAATTTACTGCCACTGCCATCACCGGTGCCATCACCGGTACTACCACGCTTACTGCCACGCTTACTGTTACCAACGTTATTGACCCTCTTACTGTTACCACGGTTACTGCCATGCGTACTGCTACCACTGTTATAGTCTCTCTTACCGCTATTATTACTATTGGTTGTGGGCTGAACTGTTTCTCCCTAAATATATACACTGAAAGCCCAAGGCCCAGGACCTCAGAAGGTGACTGCATCTGGAGGCAGCCTTTAAAGGGCAATTAGGTTAAAACGAGTCTTTAGGGTGGGCCCTCCTCCCATCTGACTGGTGTGCTTGTGAGAAGAGGGGATTTGGACACAGACACATGCAGAGGGAAGACCATGTGAGGACACAGGGAGAAGACGGCCGTCTGCAAGCCAAGGACTGAGGCCGCACAAGAAGCCCGCCCTGCAGACACCTGGATCTCGGACTGCCCGCCTCCAGAACGGTGAGAAAACGAAGTTTCAAGTCCCGCAGCCCGGGGGCACTTGGTTACGCAGCCCGCAGCCGAGCAAACGGATGGATTCCTGATGCTACGGCTCCCACATCGTCCTCAGAGCAGTTGCCACGTGTTTGTCATTGTGCTCAACACGTACAAACACTATCTCGCCTGGTCCTCGCACAGCCCTAAGGAACGGGCGCTAGGACCTTCGCTGCTGGCAAACGAGGGAACAGAGGGTGCTGTGGTCCCCAGCAGCTGGCACAGGGCACGGCGTTGGGCTCAGTAAAGACGAACTGAGGGAAGCTCAGCGAGACGGCAGAACCCGTTCAGGGAGCCAGCGACAGGCAGTGCTGGGACGCAACCCAAGTCCCCCAGAGTCCTCGTCCCGAGCCCTTCACGGGGTGTGGGGTCAAGTCCAGCCCAAGGACACAGGACCCAGCAGGATGCCCGCGAGAAGTGGGTTCTGGATTCCTATGCCCCGTATACCTCAGTCTGAAACAAACCCGGCTTTGCTCACAAGCCCGTCTCCCGGAGCACGTGCCCCCTGCACTGGGTCACACCTGGGTGGCGGCCATCCTCCCCACGGCCCGTACCTGGCCTGGGAGAGAGTCCTCGTGCCCTTTCCCTTGACCACCTGTCCTCTGCTTAGTCTGAACCAATGGCTTTGAAAACAGACGGGGACTCCCTCCTGCCCGTCCC